AAAACTTTAATATAAGTTTAACATAACAGCAAATGTAAAACGTTTCGACAAGGTTTTGTCATCATCAGGTGATGACAGAACCTTGTCAAAACGTTGTACATTTGCTGTTATGTTAAACTTATATTAAAGTTTTTCTTCATTACCCATTCAAGCCGTCTCCAGCCATTATTACTCCTATAGTTAGTTGCCTTGAAAATAACACTTTTTGTGATTTAGTTTGATTACTTCTCCACCTTTTAAATGTATAGAAAATTATCCTGAGTTTATAGATATTTTAAATGTAATTGTATTTATGTTATACTTCAAAAGTTTATTAAAGATATTCTATTAAACTATCGTTTTTATCCAAAAAATTTATATCTACACACATAACTTTAAGCTAACAACATTTTTTATGTTGAATGTTTTCTTGAATAAGTTAGATTTCTGATGCTAGTGTATTATAGTATATCTATACCATGTTTGTGAGTTAACAAGTTTAAGTAGTTTTACTGAATATTTTTTATGCTATATGATTCATCTTAACTTTCAATGGCTATATCCAAGTTTGGGGAAAAAAAAAAAAAGAGTTAAGTTTGTCAAACTTATTCTCTATATGAGATGAGCAGAAGTTACATTAAAATCACAGTTGTATAAGTCTAGAAATGAAAATATATATTTAATTGTGAAATCATTGACAATAAAATTATTTATACACAAAAGTTATTTGAAAGCAGATTAGGCTAGTTTAATGATGACAATTTTGCTTATTAGACAGTATATGTATAACTATTTACGATTTAACCAAGCTCTTATCCATAATGTCTATTGTTTCACTGTGAAATATCTGCAATAGAATATATAGTTATTTTAGTCACACATGTATTAAAACAAAAGTATTAGTAGCATATATAAGCATGAATATTTAATAAACAGTACTAGAAAAGTTAATGCTATGCTGAACATCAGAACTAGCATGTTGTAGTTACACCTTATTATTTGTAAGAAAACAATTGTTTGAATATTTCTGGCAATGGACAAGAAGGTTTACTTACTGAGATAAGTTATTTTCTTTCCATTTCAAGTAAAGTAGTTTATTTAATAAGTGTAGTATAGGTTATCCAGGACTCCTAATTAATCTGTTATCTTTATCTTCATTGCTTTACTTTAATTACTAATAGAAAAATGTAAGGGCATGTTCTTAATATACAAACAATTGTTTAATATCTTACGTATTTGCTAGGTAAATCCTGATGGCGAGCGAGTGATAAAGGGATATGAGTACCTGGCAGACATTATTTACCAATGGGAAATGTAAGAATTTGATCACTTCACCATTGCTTTAATTTTAACTTGACAGCTGATTCATGAGATCAAGCATTTTTTTATACATTTTCACAGACTCTTGAAAAATTGGTCTTTGCACTATTGTGTTTGAGTCAATGACGTATATATTTGTAGATCATATAAGATATGAAGAATGCATTAAGAAACTTTTTATGCTGATTTTGGGCATGGAAGCAATCAATGTGCTCATCACTTTTTCAGAGAAACACCTACGAAGGAACAAATGTAAATTAGTGTATATTTGAATGTAATAAGGTATTATATATTGCCTTAAGTTTAAAACTTATAGTTATGATAATATATGAAAAAAATATATAAGTTATGTGTTTAGTAACAAAATATATGAGGGGGATTTTATTAGCATATGGGATTCCATCATAGAGAAACGGAACTGATAAAATATCTAAATATAATATGTATTAGACCTCCATAGTAAAAAGTTTACCACTCATTTTATGTACCCTGTGAAGCATTGAGACATTTGATCAAATTTTCTGATCTATATAGAATGGTTCATCAGTGTTAGGTAGGTGTGCTTTCAACAAGTAACTGCCTCTGAAAGGAAAAGTTTCCTAACAGCTATAAGAAACAGTCAAGTTGAACATCCTTGTATACCTTGGCAACACCTCTATGTTTAACCCTTGGTATTGACAGATGACATTATTATTAGTAGAGTTTAATTTGGAATTATGGTGCTATCAGTGAAGAATTTCAAGTTTGTTGCCATAGTACTCCCCCTCAGTTTCATTGTGTGCTATATCACTGGAAAAACTTCTACATATTGCCCTACTTTGTTTCGAACATTTTGTATACACCATTATCAAAAAATATTTTGATTTCATATTTATAAGGACCAGTAATTTTTACACCATAATGTAAATCTCCAGCCCATCCAAATGTACACTCACCTGTACCTTCAAATTTGAAATGTCAGTTATGCTATCCAAATCAATCTCCCTACCTGATGTGATACATACGGAGCTGGTAATGTGCATTCTCATGCTAATGGCCTGATGTTTTTCCATATTGCTTGTACTTTCTATGTGCCTTCTATCCATTCCTTAAGCCTCTAAAACACTTTTGATCAAAATACATGCTTATATAGATAAAAAAGACCAGTGATCAAAAATATTTTCTTTATTTCTCTTGTTTTTATAAGCAACGTTAACAGTGCTGTAACCTGGCAAAACTGTAACTTATTTCCAATCTAAAAATTGATTTACACTCAGAAAGCATCAGCCAGGTGGTAGCACTGCCTATGTAGGGATGGTTGGATTTTACTTGAAGTGGTATTTTAAATATCTCCTCAATAGGTCATCAGAACGTTACAATACTATACAGTATTTTCTTTTATAAAAATATCTATGTAATGTCTGAGTCACAGGTTCTGGGAATGTCTGTAATTATCATAGCAAAAAGTTTGAATTTCTTGTTATTCTTTTGTCTGCTTCTTTTCTTATTACATGATAACTCAAACAAATATGTTAACCCATTTCACTGAAGTGACATAATTTCAAATAGAATATCCACTTTTATAAGTATTATTAATAATTAGTAGTGATTTAAAAATTATAATCCTAATATAAATGATGTTATCATTACCCCTTGAAGTTACCTTTCTTACGGAAACTTGGTGTTCCTTTAAAAAGTTTAAGTACAGTGTGAAACAGGAATTACAAGCCAATAATAGATGAACAATAAATATTACAGTTGGAACCTCATTGTACTTAGAACTTGGTTATAAATACAACCTTTCTATGTGTGTTGAAACACTGCATTAATAAAAAAATGCAAACAAGTAATATCCCTGGTCTTGATTGGGAAAAAATGTGTAAAATGCAATGAATCACATTTTCAAAGTTGAACAAACATGGGTGCTTGTTACAAAATCAGGAGAGAACTTCATAACAAGAGAGAAGTATGATGTCTGCATTTTCATTTTAAATAAACATATATATAACTTATCAATGTATTAAGAATCAAAATATTTTTGTTCATGTAAAAAAATATCCATGGATGTTACATCTCAAAATTTGGTATAAGTTATCAGAAATATCCAGTAAAATGTTGTGTTTGCATCTGAACAATACATAAAGCAAATCTGACATCAAATACAAATGCAAATTGTTTTGTTAAATTTCATATTGATGTTAATATATTTATGTACATATATTACTCTTGTGCCACAAAACAAATATGTATTGTCTTTAAAAATGTTTATGTTTACAGCAGTTATAAAAACCTTATAATGAATAAATATGGCATAATTGACACAGAAATGTCATTAGAAATTAGCTATTAGCAAATAAATGTTTGATACTTATTGATTAATTTTAATTTATGAAATAATCGTTTAACTGCTCTGTGTTTGTATCATTATAAAAGTTTGGTGTCTACCTTTTAAGAAAACTACCCGTAATATTATAAACAACTAAAAGTATGTAATTAGAAAGTACACAAAAATATATAACTTCTTTAATATATCAGATGTCATAGAACTTCAGCTACTTTGACAAAGTACACAACTTTATCAAGAAAGGGACCAAAGGAAGCTCTTGGAAGTGGTGAATGTCAGTTTTTGTTTCGTAAAAGGCTCTTTCGTTCTTCAAGAGAAATCCCACAGGATCCAATTGAGGTTGGTCTACTGTATGCTCAGGCTGTTCATAGTGTTGTCAAGGTAAGCTGAACTTTTAGAAATCATGTATTGTATACTTTCATATACAAATACTGGTAACTGTTTTTCACTGTAGATCAGACTGTATATACAAAGAGGTGAAAACAAGAATGTATTTATATGTGTCAGGGTGAGTACAGAAATATGATTTAAAAAAATGAGAGGTTGCTATATTTGAGCATGTGGAAATTATATTATTATCAAAAGTGTATTAGAATTAATAAAGCTTGCTTGTTTAAAACTGTTATTTAAATGTACACTAGGGCTTTACAGTTCACTGTTTATTATATTCTTTTTTTGACATTTAAGAACTAAGTAGTTTATTGATTATGAGACTGTAGATCAAGAAGGAAGAACAATACAGTTTGTTGTGTATCTGAATGTAAATGAGGTGTAAGAAGTGATCTTTGTTTTAAAATGTAATAGTAAATGATTATGCTTTATGCCACAGTTTGTGTGGTATTCTCAGGTGCAACTGACTTACTGTAAGAATTATCAGGTAGGATTTGAAAGTTAATAGGAAGTTCAACAGCAAATGTTTTGCAGTAATAAATCTAAATGTTCTGACTAACTGAGTTCAAAACAAAGAGAGAGGCTGGAAACAATGTAAAACACTGTGAAAACAGTTTTTATTGTGAAACGGTACTATTTCCGTGTGCTGATCATGTGACTACTCTCCACCAATCATACTGTGTCACCTATACTAGTGCAGATAGCTTCCTCTACCATTGCAGAACAAGCCTCACTTTCTCGATTGGCATTCTAATGTATAGACGTGTGTTTTTAACTCATTCTCCATGTGATTACAAGATTTTGATTGTGCTTGATCCCAAATTTAAATCAGTTTCAATTTCTTATGTTTGATTTCTACTCATTTGTTTTAGAAATGTTTCTGTTTCTGCTTTGTTCATATGAATTCGAGATTTAATATGGGAGATGATGAAATTCTCATTATGAGTAGAGTACTAGTCCCCAGGTCTCAGGATTGATGATGCCTACTGGGGAAGCATAGGCTTTAGCTTATGGAGAGTTCATGTCTTTTTAAACTTAGGATTTTTTTAAAGAGAGATATAAGTACTGTGTGTTGAATTTGTCTTTCCATGGCACTTTCCACTGTTACCACACCTCCACATAATTTGCTTGGTTAGGTATTGTTCTCTTTCCCAGGAGATCTGTGGTAAGTTTTCAGTGTGTATTTCTCACTCTCCGTAGGTATACAGTGACTGTATTAGAACTTGTGTAGATGAACCTAATTTATGCACTTGATAATTTTGGTCATTCGTGTTTTCTCTGCTCAGTGTTATACTTCTTTTACCATCTAAATTAATTTAGTTTATACTTACATTTGGAGTTTTATTATTCCTTTGTTTTTTACTTTACTTCTTCTCAATATTAATGTTATTTAGTTTGTAAGTTCCTTTTTCTTTACTATTAGTCACATCTAATTGAGGATTAGAGTTGAGTTAAAATTTGTTATTGTTAACTGGGTATCCTTTTCTTCACATGTTCTTTGGGGTAGATTTTATTTTTGTGTTTTTTGACTTATAGGTTTGATATTTAGGGGTCATTTATCTTCTACAATCTTTTCATGGTTTTGTACTTTAGGTGTTACTTATTGTTTTTTGTCTTAGGTCGAACTTCACTGTTTTACAGGTTTATTTTTATGTCCTTTGTAGACTTTACATGTTTCTACATTTTGTTACTTCATTAGTAATAAGTATTTTCTCTAAATTAGTTTATTTTATGTATCTTTTTAGTGACACATCATGACAGTTCCATGGTTTCTATGGGTTCTGTCTGTAGGTTTCTACCTTCTGTCTTGCTCCCCCTCTATCCACTTCCCAGATTTCCTCCCCTCCCCCCCTCCTCAGGATTGTACCTTGCCCAGTCACCTTGCCAAATCTGTTCAAGACTTACTACACAGAAGAGCTATTGAACTAGTGGTGCCCACTCAACCAGGATTCTACTCCTACCTCTCACTTTGGTGGGTTTTTTGCTCTAGTGTCATGTCGTTTTTCTTTGGTTCGTCCACAAAGGTTCTGTCTTCCAGTTTTGGGCATTGCTGTTTGATCTTTCTTCAGCTCAATGTGTTTTATCAAGGGGTATGCTCTTTTGCATGTCATCTTCACTTGCTGGGTCTTTGGACTCACTATTACATGGATGACTGGCTTCTGCTCACCAGTCTGACACTCACACCTGTTTACTTCTTCGAGAAGATGCCTGGATGGTGTTTCTCATCAAGTTGGAGAGGTCCTTTACTACCCACTTCCAACATCTTATTAATCTGGGGGTTCTCTTCACTTCCCATCTAGGTCAAACCCAGCCTTCTCCACTTTGGCTCTGGGATATGGAGCAAGCAGTCACAAATCACGAAGGCCCTACCTTCTCTCTCTGCACAAGAGGTTTATCTTTTTTGAGGTTGTGGGCTTCCTTGGAAGCTCTCATTCCTTTATGTCAGGTGCACTTGTATTTCTTTCATTGGATGATTCTTGACCAGTAGAATTTCCCCCATGATCCCTTGGACCATTTCATTTCCCCTTCTACCTGGGATCAGGGCAGACCTAGCTTGGTGGCTTGACAGGGACTTGACCACAGCGAAGATTCCCATTCCTTTTGCCCTGTTCTGAGTCTCATCTGTTTACAGATGCTTCCTTGATGGGTTTGGGGTTGGTAGTCAGTCGAGGTGGCTACACTCCATTTCCACATCCTGGAGTCTTTGGCAGTTTATCTTCTTGTTCCTGCTGGGGTGGGTGGTTATGGTTTATTCTGACAATTCCACTGTCACCAGCTATATTACTAAGCAAGGGGTACCAAGTCCAGCTATCTGTGTTTTCAGACTCTGGATCTTCTGTACTAGGATAATGACCACATGTCATTCCCAGAGTTATGAATCTTGTGGCTGTTTGCTTATCATGTCCCAACCAGGTTCTCTTCATGGAGTAGTCCCTTCTTCCTCAGATTTTTCTCAACTAGGAACTCTACATACATTTCGTTCCTTTTAGGTCTCTAGTTCCTCACTCTTCAGCTCTGGGGCTGGATGCATTTAGTCCATATTGGAGGGGTCTTCACATATATGCGTACCCTTCAATCAGACACCTCTCCTGGGTCTTTTCCCTTATCCAGATCACTCCCTGTTGTTTTCTGCTGGTTGCTCCATACTGGCCAGGTCAGGAATGGTTCCCTCTGTTCTAGCTCCTATTGGAACTACAGCCTCTGCCCTTATCTCTGTCTTAATTACTCCTCCAACAACCAGGATAGGAAGTTTTTCACCCAACGTCACCACACTCCAGTTTCACGTGACTTTTGTCTGGTCACATGTCTCAGCTCTGTGTCTCACCCCTTGTAAATTATCTTTCCTTGCCTGTACCATTCTCCCTTCCTCCTTTTCTATGTACCAGAGACTTTGGTTTATTGGCTTCCTTCTATTCCTCACCTGTCCCAATTCTTCATTTGGTTGTTTGTTCAGGGTTTGTCTGTTTCAATTGTTGCTCTTTATAGGGCCATCCTGTTGAACACCTTCTTTTCTCCCAATTACAGAATGCCTTCTCTTCCCTAGTTATTTCCCTCCTTTTCTGTTCATTTCATCTGGTCCATCCTCCGTGTTCCTTTGTTCTGCTGGTTTGGGATCTCAGTGTTGTCCTTCATGCCCTTTTCTGTATCATATATAAAGGACCATCACTCATGGACTTCATGAGTAAGGCAGATGTGGATTTTTTCCCACCCCTACTGCCCCTAACCTTACAATCAGGGTCTTTCTGCTTTTCAAAATGTGGAATCGCAAGCACCCATTGCATTGTCTCCAGTGTATCGTTCCTCCGGACTCCCCAGTGCATAGGTTCCCTCCCCCTCCCTCTTTTCTTCTAGTGGAGCACAGAATTCCTTGCCACTTCTGGTGTCCAGTTGCTGGAGCAGTGGACCATGGAGATTTCCTCTGGAGTGGGTTTTGTACAATAAAACAAACTTCATAGTCATATGTACCCACTCTGTGAGAAGTGGGCTACCATCATTATATTTAATATT